TAAACCATGATTTCCCTCTACTTCAGTACTTCCAGATGCATCTTTCTCCAAGTTCCTAAACGAAATTTAACAGACAGTGACTTCTTTGAAGCAAACGACTGTTTTCCTAATGGTGCAGATCAGCTGGAACAAAGGCAGGAGGATCCCCACAAAGGCCGAGAGCTTCTAGTGACAGGGACAAAGCCCAGAGTGTGGGCTTTCAGAGGAGGAAACAAAAGATAAAGAATAGAATGGGAAGCTCAATAAGATCCTATAGTGAATTCCTAGTCATCCAAAATAATTGAAAACAGGGAGATTAGCATAAGAATGTGACAGAATTCATAAATCTCCAGTAAGAGAATAGAATGGTGAAGCCCTTAATGTGAAAATGATTTGAAATTTAACATAATCTCTTTGATGATTTGAAGTCTTCAGGGTGCTGCAGCATTTCCTACAATCATAAATATTAATCATCAAGGTGTGGCACTGGAGAAAACAGGAAACTGGAGTCTTCTATTGTCAGACTTCTTTAAAGCCACCAGTATACAGACATTCCTTAGGAAGTTGTGTATCTTTAGAGTTAAGCCATGGAAACCCACTAGGGGTCTGCAAATGGACTAAGGTAGTGGGGATCATATCTCTGTCAACTTTGTGATCACTTTTCATATTTTCTATACTGAACCTGGTTGAGTCACTCAAACCTGAGCAAGTGTCTGCTAGCACTTTCTGGATCTTTTTCTAAAGCATTTTCAATGAAACTCATGGAAAATGTCTCTAGTAACAAAAGTACAACTTCTAGCAAAATAACTTGAGCATCGTGTTTGTTTTATTTGCTTTTTGGGATGCCAGGACTGCATCTACAGACCAGACAGATTTAAACTTAAAGAATGGACATTAAACCAGGCACTGGTGGCTCACTAACTGGCATCCTAGTTACTCAGGAGGCTAAGATCTAAGGAGTGTGGCTCAAAGACAGCTTAGACAAGGAGTCTGTGATACTCTTATCTCCAATTAATAACCGTCCCCCCCAAAAAAATTCCAGAAGTGGAACTGTGGCTCAAGTGGACAAACATCAGCCTTGAGCAAAAATAAAGCTCAGGGGAAGTGCCCAGGTCCTGAGGACAAGCCCCAGGATGGCACAAAAGTAAGGAGGAAGGAAGGAAGGAAGGAAGGAAGGAAGGAAGGAAGGAAGGAAGGAAGGAAGGAAGGAAGGGAGGAAGGGAGGGAGGGAGGGAGGGAGGGAGGGAAAGAAAGAAAGAAAGAAAGATAGATCAGCAAATTACTCTTTTTTTTTTTCTGCCAGTCATGGGGCTTGAACTCAGGGCCTGGGCACTCTGTCCCTGAGCTTCTTTTGCTCAAGGCTAGCACTCTACCACTTGAGCCATAGTGCCACTTCTGGCTTTTTCTGTTTATGTGGTACTGAGGAATCGAACCCAGGGCTTCATGCATGCTAGGCAAGCACTCTACCACTAAGCCACATTCCCAGCCCAGCAAATTACTCTTGATGCCCTTTTTTCCTGATCCTAGCATCTGCCAACTGAACTTCCTGCTAACTAAACTTCCACATTGTTCTTTTTTTTTTTTGGGTCAGGTCGTCGGTTCTGAACTCTGGGCCTGGGCGCTGTCCCTCAGCTCTTCAGCTCAAGGCTAGCGCTCTACCACTTAAGCCACAGCGCCACTTCCAGCTTTTTTTCTTTTTGCTTATGTGGTACTGAGGAATCAAACCTGGGCTTCATGCATGCAAGGCAAGTGCTCTACCACTGAACCACCTTCCCAGCCCCTTCCACATCATTCTTTAGCTATAGATATGGAAACAACTTTTTTGGGTTTCAAAGTTGGCCTGGCCAACAGTCCACTTGTCATGGAAGCTGCCATAGAAGATCGGCCTATGCCCCTCTGATTCTTTTCAAATGAAAAGGAACCAAAATCATTTAGGAGGGGAATAAGAGAGAATAAACAGAGGAGGAAAGAGTAAAAGTAAAAATAAAAATTGAAAGGCCCAAACTCAAAACTAAAACAGTACCAAGAAGTAAAGACTGAAAAGTCACCATCTTCTTTTAGCTGTTCATAGTCTGCAAACTTTGTTAAATAAAGAGACAGAAAATTAAAGGGAATGTGTGGTTAGTGAAAATCCTGAAACTTAGAACTATTGTCCTTGTGTTTTGAGTAAGCCATATCTCTATTTGTTTAACTAATAATGAGACCCATCTAGGTTCAGTTTTGAGTAATAAACTCACCCCAAACTCACTGTCTCTAGTGAGTGATTAAGAGTTGTTGACTAGGTGTTCAGAGAGAAACTCAACTGAGATTCCCTGGCCAATAGGACCTACCATTTTGAGTCTACTTCAGTTCCACAGTAAGTATTTCCTGAATATGAGAGGCAGATGCTTCTCCCTTTCCTCTGTTTCCATTCTTTATCCATTTTATGAACATAAATCCTTGCTAGTTTTTTTAAAAAGTGAAAAATCAGCCAGGTGCTTGTGGCTCACATCCTGTAATCTTAGCTACAAAGGAAGCTGAGATCTAAAGATCATGATTCAAAGCTAGCCTGGGAAAGAAGTCCATGAGACTCTTATTTCCAATTAACCACCAAAAAGTAGAGCTGTGGCTCAAGAGGCAGAGTGCCAGCCTTGAGTGAAAAAGCTAAGGGACAGGGGGTTGGGAAGGTGGCTCAGTGGTAGAGTGCTTGCCTTGCATGCATGAGGCCCTGGGTTCGATTCCTCAGCACCACATAAGCAAAAAAAAAAAAAAAAGCTGGAAGTGGCGCTGTAGAGCACTAGCCTTGAGCTGAAGAGCTGAGGGACAAGCGCCCAGCCCCAGAGTTCAGGCCCCAGACCAGACCCCCCCCCCCCCAAAAAAAAGCAAAGGGACAGCACCTAGGCCCTGAATCCAAACTCTAGACCTTGCATCTTTAAAAAAAAAGTGAAAATGGCAAGATAAAAACCTTCATATATATTATGAAATCAACTGGATGTTTTTAAAAGCATGGAAATGGGTGCTGAAAAGATACTGAAAATGATCATCAGCACATCAGCAGTTGTCTTTGTGGTATGGCAGATCTGTGGCTAATATCCCCTTTCACCTTTTATATTCTTCTACTGCTTATATTTTCATAGTAGATATTATATATTCTTACATACTTGTCCTTGAGTGAGGACAAGATCTAAGATCTACATCACTCAGGGATTAATTTAACATACTTTTTTTTTAGATTGTTAAGGCTGTAGGTGAAGGAAAACTCACTGATGGCCCAGTCAAAGAAAGAGAAGCATTTGGAAATAGAGTTCCAGATGAGGAAGGTTCATTTGAGATCCCTATTCTTTCATCCTTGCAATGTTATCCTTCTAGTTAACCATGTAGGTTCTGCTCTCAAGGCCTGCTCCTAGGGCCCTGTCACGGGTCAGGGTTGTAGATCTCCTTTAGCTCTGTCCCCAGTTCCCATCGCCAGGTTCCCTCAGCTCTATTCATTTATTTGTAAGAAAGTCCCTCTCTACTTTGTCCGTTCCCATCGCCAGGTTCCCTCAGCTCTATTCATTTATTTGTAAGAAAGTCCCTCTCTACTTTGTCCTGACAGAAGTTGAGCCCTTTTTGTCTCCTTGCATTACATTCTCCTTCTTATCTAGCTCCTCGCCATTCTCCCAGGGATTACAGCACTACCTCATCAGAGGTCTGCTGAGATGTTCTGGGACATTCACCCACATGTCCTGGGATGAGTGTGACACCTGAGCTGAGCCTTCCAGGAAGCCAGATGTCCATTTTCTTGGTCCTGCTTTTTGTTTCCAGATGTTTTTCTACTGTGTCTTACCCATCTACCAAGGAGTGAGGACTGGCAGCCCATACTGTCTTTGCCATTCGCCTAGACCTTCTTGGGTCCTGTGTCTATCCCTGAGTTATATTTACTGCGGATCAAGCTGTCATTGCCATGACCATAGCTCCTTACCCGGAGTCCCAACTTCCTCAAAGTTTTCTAGGGTTCCATAAGGAAAATGCAGCCAGCCCAAAAATTTCCTGTTCCCTTCAAAGAACCTAGTCTTAGTGTTTGACTTGGGGAAGCCAGGTGGATATCTCTGTAAAAAAAACGATAGTATCTTCATTATATCCCTGTTTGAAGAGATAGAATCTAGAGTCCAGATTCTGCTCTTAGAACGTTATTAAGTTGTGAATTAATGATGATGGCGTTGACTTTCCTTTTTCCATGGCTGGCACTGTTCTAAGTACTTCACATGGCAAATCACATACAAAATAAACGTATGACATGGGTGGGTAGTGCTGAGAGTTCTAGATTTTACAGACGAGGACACTGTTCATGTGAAATAGCTTGGTTAGAGCCAGAAGTAGTGATGGAAAGATGCAGGATTTGAGCTTGATCATTAACACAATGCATGTGGAAGAAGTAGACCCCAGGCTCTAGCTCCACACAAGTCATTGCAGTGAATCAATGGAGGACTGGATGCAATAAAGACGGCCAACTACCAGGCACCAGTGGCTCATGCCTATAATCCTGGCTATTCAGGAGGCTGAGATCTGAGGATTGAAGTTCAAAGCCAGCTTGGGCAAGGAAGCCCATGAGACTCTTATCTCCAATTAACCACCAGAAAACTGGAAGCAGTGCTGTTAACTCAACTGGTAGAACATTAGCCTTGAGCTGAAGAGCTCAGGGATAACACCCAGGCACAGAGTTCAAGCCCCAGGACTGACAATAAATAAATAAATAAGTAAATATGGCCAACTAAAGAACAAATGTCTACTGGAAGTGGGGTGGGGGCGTTTACCCCAAAGCAGCAGATGATTCATAACACGCAAGAACATGGGCCCAGTGTTGCCAGAGTTCCTGAGTTTTTAAGAGACACTAACTATTGTGGATTTTAATTGTCAATCTCCCTGCATTGAACTAAGTGGGCCAAATATATTACCCTGGTGACCCAGCCACTTTTAATCTCTTTCCTCTGTTTGTGTATGCATCTTTCCATTCTTCCTTGTGACACACACTCTTCTCCTTCAAAAGGGTGAGGGCTACCTACCTGTACAATCTCCAGCATCTCTGCCTTGCTGATGTAGCCATTTCCATCCAGGTCATACATGCTGAAGGCCCATTTCAGCTTCTGCTCCAACTTCCCCCTCGATGTTACACTCAGAGCTATGATGAATTCTCTAAAGTCTATTGTCCCATCTCCATTTGCATCGAAGGTGCGGAAGACATGCTCTGCAAATTTGGAAGCATCCCCATAAGGGAAAAAGTTCCCGTATATTTTCTTAAACTCTTCCATTGACAAATGTCCACTGGGGCAGTCTCTCAAGAAGCCTTTGTACCATTCCTGGATCTCGTGCTCTGTAAAGTCTGTGCTTTCCAACAAGTCCTGCATGACCTCTGGGCGCAGCTTGCTGTTCTGTTTCCCCATCCTGATGGCAAGAATTTAACTGCAGACAGAAAAGAAAGCACATATAATTTTCAGAGCTTCTCTCTGTTCCTTGGGAAAAAGAAAGAAACAAACAAACTCTGTGATAGTCCAATAGCATTATCTAGGTTTTGCAACATTTCAGTAAGCCAAACAAAACAATGGGAAGATGAGCCAGCCAAAGCCATAGAGAAAAGATATCACTTGCCAGAGCCAACCAGACAGCAAAAGATAATAGATCAATGCCTAGGAGAGAGTTAATCACTTTGTTCTGGTTTATCAGTTAGCAAGGGGTTGAGTCTGGCTTTAAGAAGGCTGAGGTTGCCGGCTGCTGATGGTGCATCCCTGTAATCCGAACTATTCAGGAAGCTGAGATCTGATGCTAGTGGTTCAAAGTGAACCCAGGCAGATGAATATGAGAGACTCATATCTCCAAGCAACCAGCAAAAAGTTGGAAGGGGAGGTGTAGCTCAAGTGATAGAGTACCATCCTTGAGCAAAAGAGTCAAGCCCTGAGTTCAAGTCTCACTACCAGCATGTGCATGCTTGTGTACATATGCTTGCACACATGCGTGTGTGCACGCACACACACACACACACATACAAGAAGGTTGAGGTTCTAATACCAAATCCTAGCAGGAAGAATTAAAGAAGAGGAGGAAGAAGAAAGAGACTAAAAGGGAGAACTTAGTGTATTTTCTTGCTAGACTATTTTCATGTGAAGTACACAATGGGTACCACTTGGATAATATAAACAGAGACACAAAGAAGGAAAATAGAAACAAGCCTAACATACCACAAAACACTTCCGAAATAGTTCAGTTACTTAAATCCAGAGTGAATTACTGCCCACTTTGGCTTTAGATGGTTTAGATGATGCTTCATAAAGTTGTTTACCTCCTACAATGGTGGCTTATGAAACTAACTTTCCCTATTAAATTCCAAACAACTTCATATTTGTTTTTACTGGAAGAGTAGTACATGTCCAAAGTAAAAGAGTAAAACAACAAAGAGATGTACATGTCCAAAGTAAAAGAGTAAAACAACAAAGAGATGTACTTAGTTTATACATAACCCTTAGAGATAAACTTTGCTAACATTTTGATGAGTGTCCTTTGTGTGTATGCATACTTCTTTAACTATGCTACTAACAAACATTCCCCAGTTTTACTATTTTTCAACTTCATGATGGTGTGACAATTAACATGCACCCAGTAGAATGCTGCTTTTAAGTTTTGATCACTTCCTAGGCTAGCGATATTTGGTCTAATATTCTTTCTCTACTCTGGACAGCAGCAGTGACTGCCAGCTGTCAGTCATACCATAAAATGGAGGAGAAAGCAGACACTAAATTATGTGCTAGACTGCACAGGATTCTATGTATTTAGTTTCAACTTTCATGCCTTTATCAGGACACAACCCCTTTGTAAGCTGAAGACTATTTGTTTGTGTGTTTTAAGATCTACCCCGACACTTTTGGTTGGGCATGGGGCTTGGACTCAGGTCATGGGGCTTGGACTCAGGTCATGGGGCTTGGACTCAGGGCCTGGGCACTGTCCCTGAGCTCTTCAGCTCAAGGCTAGCACTCTACCATTTTGAGCCACAGAGCAACTTCTGGTTTTCTGGTGGTTAATTGGAGATAAGAGTCTCATGGACTTTCCTGCCCTGACTGGCTTTGAACCAAGATCCTCAGATCCCAGCCTCCTGAAGAGCTAGGATTACAAGCATGAGCCATGAGCACCTGGCTAAAATCTTTCCATTTCTGAAAATAAGAGCACACACCTTCTTGTTCCCTGTTTCCTTAAGCCAGTGTGGGAAGGCAGGCAGCATGGAGGGAGACAGCTGTAAATACCATCTTCCCATCCACAAAGCCAGTTCTGCTGAGGAAGAACAGGAGGAGGTGACACCTGACTTTGAGCACAGTTCTGAAATCTTAGAACTGAGTGTGATAGAGACAAATTTCTTCTCATAACAGAGACTCTGCACTTTGCCTTTTTCTTCTATTGGAAACAAAACAAAACAAAAAGTGAGGCTTAAAAAATGACAGGCTATCTGAAAAGACATCCCGATGGCCTTTTAATCCGGATTGCAGGGTCTGTGCATTGGAAGATATACTCATTTTCATCTGTCTCTCTCCTGCTGCACAGTCAGCCCTGGGCACACAGACACATTTGTATCTCCAGGGCCATCACAGGGTGGTGTCTGGTGAACTAATGAAGGAAGGAGCATTAAGTGAGAAGAAACCACTGGTAGACAGGAAGATAATCACAATACGCAAATATAGAACAGTCCTTTTGGGGAGAGGAGGCTGTGCCCCAGGAGGAAGTCCTGGCTTTCAGCATGCTAATTGTCACGCTAGCTTTCAGACAGTTAAAATTTGGTCTTAGGAAATGGAGAGAGGAGTGGTGGGTGAATGCAGTCGAAATATTCAATGTGCATATGCAAAACTGGAGATGGGCGGGCTGGAAGAGAGTGGGGGGAACATGGAAGGGGTGATATCAATTGAGATATACTGTATCCAAAAACTGACATGTTGAACTGAAACTGCTTTGTACAACTATTAAAGACAATTTAGAGCTGGACACCGGTGGCTCACACCTGTCATCCTTTCTACTCAGGAGGCTGAGATCTGAGGATCGCAGTTCCAAGCCAGCCCCGGGGAAGAAAGTCCTGGAGAGAGTCTTACCGCTAATTAACTCCTCAAAAACCAGAAGTGGAGCTGTGGCTCAAAGTGGTGGAGCACTAGCCTTGAGCAAAAGAGCTCAGAGACAGCTCCCAGGCCCTGAGGTCAAGCCCCACCATCTACTGGAAAACAAAAATGAAAAATATAATTTAAATTTGAAAAGAACTGGTCTTAGAAACACTCAGAGTACCATCTGTATGGTGGTCTCACTGAAAAGAAATTCTTATAGGGCTGTTTTTGCACCTCACATGGCCTATTTCATTTGTAACATCTATAGATCAGGAAACTGGAGCGAAACCTCATGAATTACTGAATCATTTGGCTTAAAGAAATAAACCAGAATCTATTCTTCCTATCTAATTGGAACAGTCATGGTCTTATTTCTAGGGGAATCTAAACAAGCTGACTTGTTATTCTGAGTTAGGAACGGGAGTTCAACGTTGGTCATGATTTTTCTCAGAGGCAGATATCCTCTGAAGGGCAGGAAGAATGAACATCTTGTCCTACAATGGGCAACTGGCATGACCAAAAGTCCAGGGGAACCCCCCCAGCAAACTCCTCTATACAAGAGCAAAATTAAACTACAAATCCAAATGGAGCGTAGAATAGAATTTATAAACTAAGCATTGAAATAACATTCATTTCCCTTTTGTGTTCTGGTACATTTTTTGGGAAGAAAATAAAACTGAAGAGGCTGGTTTGTGTATAAGAATTTTCAAAACTGTCATTTAGTTGCTAAGGTGGCAATTTGCCCTAGGCAAGAATTCAGAAACATGAGGTAATACATAATACATGAGCTTACAGAGCTCCAAAAACACTTAATGGAATTTGCGAGTGATTTCAGGTTTTCCTTTTGGGAAGTTCTTTAAACTATAGTTCTTTGGGGGTGGTGCTCAGTCAACTCTCCATTATTACAATTTCATTATATGCAAATCACCTGTATCTGGCCTTGGGGCATAGAATATTGTTATTCTGATATTTCAGTCTACTTTAAAAAATGATTTGCTCCCAAGCATGATTTCTTCAAATTTCACCTAAGTTCCTTTCCCAACATTTAACAAGTACTTCTCTCATTTATTAGCTATTTTGCACTAGAAGCAAATTGGACACATTTTGGCTGTGTCTCCCACTGATTTGTGTGCTGCTATTTTTCAGTAAACAGTAATTAAACCACATTTACAAAATCATTAGCACAGAAAGGCTGGAACACAAACAAGGCAGAAGAGCACAGAATAAGTTGTTTTGGAAGTGTTTGCAATTTAGTCCAGAATTTATTTCAGTAGATAACTACAAATACTTTACCAAGAAGGATGATTGCACTTGAGCACACCATCTGCAACTGGTTAGACTACACAACTCTCCAGGGACCAGTGGCTCATGCCTGTAATCCTAGCTACTCAGGAGGCTGAGGCCTAAGGAGCATAGTTCCAAGCCAGCCTGGGCAGAAAAAGTTTGGTGAAATCTTATCACCAATAAACCACCAAAAAGCTGGAAATGGAGCTATGGCTAAGTGGTAGAGCACCAATATTGAGAGAAAAATCTAAGGGATAGCACCCTGAATTCAAGTCCTAGCACTCTCTCTGTCTCTGTCTCTGTCTGTCTCTGTCTCTCTCTCTCTGTCTCTCTCTCTCTCTTACACACACACACACACACACACACACACACACACACACACACACGTCTCCAGGAATGGGCCACAAAGTTTTGCTCCTTGGATGTAAGAAGAGGAATGCCTGACAATATCGTTATCTTTTTGAAACTATTTATTTTTGCCTGCTTGAGTTATGGATGCCAGAGAATAATAATGTATTACTTAGAAGTCAAAAGTTGTACATTAATACCAGGTGCTGGTGGCTCACATGTGTAATACTAGCTACTCAGGAGGTTGAGATCTTTGGATTTCAGTTTGAAGGCAGCCTGGGTAGAAAACTTCCTGTGAGACTCTTATTAACCACTCAAAATCTGGAAGTGGTGCTGTGGCTTAAGTGGTAGAGAACTAACCTTGAGCACAAAGAGGCTCAGGGACAGCACCCAAGTCCCAAGTTCAAACCCCACAACTGACAAAAAAAAAAGTAAATCAGGTGAAACATACTATCCCTCCTTTTTTTTTTCTTGTAGTACTGAGATTTGAACTAAGGGCCTCCTTCTATTTGCTAGGCAACTCTACTACTTGAATCATGCCCCCAACTCTTTTGCTTGTCATTGTTTTTCAGATAGCATCTGGCTAACTTTGTCCTGGCTGATCTCCCTACCTCCATCTTCTGCGTAGCTGAGAATACAGGGCACTCCATCATGCCTTGCCCTCTCAAATCCTTTCCAGTACTCCATCCCCTCATTAAA